CTACAGTTCCTAAAATACCTGTCGCTTTGAGTTTAAGTAAGAAGATGTTTTATGAATGCATCATAATGTATTATGAAGGTATGTATAATGAATTTATATGACTGCTTTAAGTAAAGTGTTACCACTTTACATTTAAAAGCTTCATAACAACCCCATTTTACAAAACCTGAAACTTTCTGAAATTTGACTTTTTATTTCCAATAATCATATTGTACACAAGACATGCCGCTCTTTTACTTGAAATTACAGTTCGATGTTATGGTGGGGGGAGCCACTAGAGATTTTGGGCCCCACACTGGCATATCATATCTGGCCCAAACCCAGACCAATTCAATAATGTGCCAGAATTCTTAGGGCCGCAGTCAGTCAGGGGCCTTTGGAATTGTCCTGACTTTATCTCCTTTTACGACACCCCTAGTTAACATAGCTTTTCATAAATCACGATAGCATATTATCGTACTAGCTTACTGGCATGCTAAGGAGACGGTGCGGTTCCACGTTCATGACGTGCGTTTCGCTCTTTCATCAGGGGAGCCGGATGTACGGGACGCTCTGCTCACACAGTTCATGTTTTGTTTTATTATTTCAGGTATGGGGAAGTTTTTGTTTCAATAACGTAAAACCTGCTGGAAGTGTATTTGCTGTATTCGAATGAAAGTTGAACTGGGGCTCTGTCTGTTTTGTCTAGCAAAAGAATTGAGCTATTGATTAATGTGTACCTATTAAATATTTGATAGACATGTAGTAATTATAAAAAGGTTTTGGATAATTATATGTTTTTTATGTATGTGTAGGTAAATATGTATGTTAATTTTTGCATTTGTTATATAAGAATTTCAAGTGATTTAACTCAATTCATTATTTTATTTTTTTGTTTGTACCTGAAATTATTTAACCAGATTGTCTTTTTTATTTTGTTATGTTAAAAGTGCAAAAAGGTAAGGGGAAAAAAACCTCTCCTAACGTGGCCGGAGGGGAGCCAGGTGTACGGGACGCTCTGCTCACATCTCATGTTTTGTTTTATTATTTCAGCGCTTGAGCAATAAAACATCTGAGATTCAGACCCGTGTCCAGTCCCTTACGCCAAAACACAAGGCAGAGGGGATAAGCGGCGCGGCACTTGGGGCCGGATTACACAATCCCAATCCACACTGGCTAATTTTCTTTCTAATGGTGTTCGATGGGAGTTCAATCATATTCCCGAAACCATCATTGCTCTCTGGGGGGAGTGACAAACTTCCTAGAGCCGGGCGCTCAGTGATTCATCACTGTGAATGTATCACAGAAGGAAAACAAAGTTTAATGTTCTTTTTGCTTTTGCTCATGAGGCAGGCGCCTGCAAGACATCCTGCACAAGTCAGGTGGAAATGAGATTTAGCAAGAGTTTATGCTGTATGATTGCAGCTTGAGGTATATAAGGGCTGAGTGATTCTCGCAGGACCTTTCAAGTGCTTAAAATGTGTTCACACTCAGCTGAATCCGCAGGCGTTTCTGTTTTATCGCATCTGATAGTCTGACGAAACACAACGTAATTACTGTCCTGTTACGCAAGGCACAGTTTGCAAGGCTGCCATGTATAGTTGTTACAAATTTACAAGTGAGATTAATTTTGCAGCTGTATTTTGTGCCGTTCTGTACCGGACCCAAACCGAAGACTCAAGGAAAGTAAAGTAAGCGAGACCATAGTTCAGGGCTCCACTTTTAGTTCTGGATTTGCTCTGTTACTGAATCAGCAGCACCAGTATCAGCATTCTGTGTTATTATGAACTAGCAAGTCATTTTTTGTTCTATAAATATTATCCCTTTATAGCTGCGCCACTTCACACTCTGAGTTGTAGCCGAAAGTATTAATTTAAATTCCTAAATGGAAAAAGGTGAAATAACTAAAAAGCACATTGTTAATAATGGAACAGTCAAAGAAACTTTTCTTTTTATCTACTTATTACTGATCTTTACTAATAACTTTAACGTGTTCTGCTAACTAAGCATGCGTGTGGAAAAAAAGCATTGAGACTAATTTCCCATCCTACGAATCACCATCATCATAGCCAACATCTAAAAGCTGCTATAAGCAAGGAGAATCCGTAAAATCCTATAATGCAGCTCGGTATTTACTTTTCGATGTGACATTTCAATGTCTGCCACCAGGAATGACAGGATACTTGTACAGTTACTTAAATAGGACCGCGACACCTCCGACCCCCCAGAAATCGCCAAGTCAGCTGCGCAGTACCACCTCTTCCTATTTTAGACTTCGCAGTTGCCCTCCGAGGTACAGCTGCTGCAGCGCTATGTGATCCGGGATGTATGAGGGGATGGCTTCGTAGGGAGAAGCGGCGGCACCGTCACAAAATGCCAATGAGCGGCCGCTCACAAATACGCCAGGCTCTGCTCACTTTTGATCCGATCTATGCTCCAAGCTGCGCGGAGTGCAGAAAAAGGGTTAAGAAAATTAAGAGTATGCTGGCAGGCTTTCCGTCAGCACCCCGAGAAATCAATGGTGCCAGCTGAAGTGTGATACATGCTAAGTAGGACTGATTTGAAATGCAAATAGTGCAGCTTAGCGGTACCTTCCGGAATGTTTTTGTTGCATGTGATTTATACAATGCATGTTGATATATACTGTAAATTACAGTATAGATGAGCGGCACTTGTTATACTGACCTTGAATCAGCAGTGAAGATGTCTTGGAGCACAGCAGAGCAGTTTATATGTGCTACCCTTCTTTAAAAAAAAAAAATAGATTTTTTTTTTTTTTTTTAAACAAGACCTCTGTTTAAAGCATCCGTCCCGTTGTTTTCAATGCCGTGCCGATGGGGTACGCCGTGAAAGACACCGGGCGCCGGTGAGGATGTTGAGTGCACTGAGGAGCGGGTGTTACAAGAGATATTTTTATATTTTGACCAGCACTGCAGTGAGGGGTGGTTCCGAAACTGTCAGTCAAAACCAGCGCCGGCAGCAAAGCGCTTTGAGATGCAACGTTTATATATATACATATATATATTATAAGGAGATTATTTGCAGCCACCGATTAATTCTGGACGGGATCAATATGAAGAAAGCTTTCTCAGCACTGTACATCCTTGACCTGCCAGTCAACCCCGTCCAAGATGAGTGATGGATGGATTTGTAGCTAAAGTGCTGCATAAATACTTAAATTCATTCAAAATGGTATTTCAAAGCAGAGATAACGATCGGAACTGTACTGGTGCAATCGATGGACACACTGTTTCCAATACTGACCCCAGTAGACGTCCATTTGAAACCATTAGTCATTATGGACTGGTCTCAACCAGCATGAACTGGTTTGCGTTACTCATTACCAGACTGCCAGGTATAGTTACTGGTACAGGATAATAGAATGGAATTTTCTGTAAAGGTACTTTAGACTATAAAACCAAGCTATTGTCCATGATGTTTTTAAGGCGATTTAAAAAAATTGTAAGATAATTGTATTGCTCTGGGTTATGATATGCTTTCATGGGGCCCAAAATCTCTTGCAGTGCCCCTTCGCTTGAGTTAGAGTCAGCCAGTAGAGGGCGACAGATCCTGATCATCAAGCTGATTGTAGCCATCTACAGCATACTTAAGTGGCTTATGCAAATCTAGATTGGATATGCAACATTCAGGAGGAATGCTTTCTTTATGGTTGCCAGGACATCGACGTGACAGTATTTTCCTATGCTGGGGTCCAGAGCCTATCCCAGAACCTATGGGCACCAAGAATTCACCTTAGCAGGTATTTAGACTGGGAAGAGGATCTGGAGGAAGCCCCTCAATAATAGGGAAAATGTACGAACTCCACACATACGGAGCCCTGGCAGTGAACTGAATACAGATCCCAGAGGTGTGAGGCAACAGCGTTAACCACTGCGCCACCACACTGTCCCCTGAGAGTACCTACTTAATACTAAACTTTCAGCATGTGAGTGTGCATGTGCACATCACTGAGTTGCATCCTGGCTAGGTTGTACACCAGCCTTGTGCCCTGTCCTGGGAGAGAATTCAGGCCCTACCCACATGTCCAGGATTGGAAGTTGGACTGATGGACCTGTCTTTGCCCCACCAAAAGATCCAGATCTGTGCTATCTTTCAGAATAAGATGGTGCAGTTAGACTCCTTAATATTTTAAACTATGTGGCGTATTTCTGTCATTATTTGGTGTGGTTATGGCCTCTGTCACTATTCATTTCAGCAGCAGCAGTCAGCCCATCACAGAACAGACCCAGGACACAACCAGCCCTTCCGCAGTGTATTTGGTGGCAGAGGTAAAAACACCAATATTTTATAATTCATTATGTAAAGCTGCAGTGAAACTTACTCTTACAGTAAACCACTGCAGGAAAAGTAATAGGCATGATACCTATTAAGTGTCACAATCAGTACACGATAAATTGCCTAAATTAATGAGTCACTAATTGATCAGTAGAGGTGAAATGTGAGTCATAACATGTACTTTTAGAGTCATTAAGTTAGCACTTAGGGTAAGGAGATACCATTATCCAAAATATCCTAAAATATCCAGTTGTATGGAGGAGCTGAAGTTCTGGAATTGGAACACCCCTGTACCCTTATCCAACCTCGATGCCTTGAACCAATTTAAGGTTTAAAAAAAAGCCTCTTAACTCCCTATTTCCATTCACAGGTAGACGGGGGGGGGGTAGGAAGTTTATTAGATACAAAGCACAATTACATATCAATGATTCATTTTATTCTGACAGTGGTGAGGGCAGGCATGAGATGAGGCAGGGAAGGCTGGCCTTCACAGCTGGGATAAGATTGTTCCCTTTGATATGAATATAAACATCAACCGCTTGCAGTGAGGGCCCCAAAATGACGGGCCCCCACAGTTGACGGTTTTACTCCTCACTGTCCTTTTTGCCTGTCTCCTGGCCCTCAAAGATGGGGTAACTGTTCTCGACGTCGGCCCACGTGGTGACCCCATTGGCGAGGTCTCGTATGATCCCGGGCAGTTCGGACACCTGCAGAGACGAGAGGAGAAGGAATTTTGTACAGATAAAATCTCAAAGCCTAAATGATTCACAACTGTGACTGTTTGGGGGTCAAAAATCAGAAACTTAAAAAAGAAGGTTTGAAAAAAACACATTGCATCAAAAAGCATGATAACAGATAAGCAGTTAGAAGATGATTGATGGATGGACAGTTGATAGGATGGATGGATGGATAAAAACTTTTACAGTGTCCATGGTAACAGCTGGATACCACATTAAAAAAGCCCTTATGTCATACCTCTGCCCTGATCTGCCGCATGGAGTCACGGTCCCTCAGAGTGGCTGTGTGTGGCGTCTTGTTAACCGTGTCAAAGTCAATTGTGAGGCCGAACGCGACGCCTATCTCATCCGTCCTGGCGTAGCGTCTCCCGATAGAGCCCGAGGAGTCGTCCACCTTGTGAGACACTCCATTTTTGGTCAAAGCATCAGCTGTGACAAGATGACACCAAAAAAAAAACGATGATTTAATCAGCTTGCCTTCATCTTCCCGATTTTCATTGTTGAAACCAGGAACGTGTATGGCATTCGTGCAACAGGCAGCCGTGAAACACGCTCTTACACAACTCTCGGACGAAAGGCATGAACTCCTGGTTCTGGCTGAGTGGGAGGACGGAGCATTTGTAAGGGGCAACCGTGGCAGGGAAGCTGAAGAACTGCAGGAGAGAGAGAGAGAGGCCGTCACAGCAGGCATGGAGGGACAGGCATGACCAAGAAGATCATGACCGTGGTGGGAAAACCATCAGGTCAAGTACAACGTGAACCAAGATTAATGCTGATTCAACTGATCATCTTCAGGATCCCGGATGTTAAATTAACTGTTAGGAACATTTACTTTCACGATACCAGTGTTGTCAGATGTGCGTGTATGGATGGAGAAGATGAATATAGATTCTGTTTCTCCAAGGATACTTACCGTCCTTTGCTCGTCACCTTCTCGGACGCGGAACGTATGTTCAAAAATAGAGTACATAATTCTTCCGATGCCAAAGGACGGTTCGATGACATTGGGAACGATTTCCTCCACTGTAGGTGAAAGTCAGTGACCACTTAAAAGGATATAGAGTACAGCAGATCTTCTTGATAAGTGCTTATCAAGTTATTCCGTTATTAAAATATATGTTACTGGTACGAAGGACTGAATATGATAAGCAGATTGACCCAATGACGCTTATCAGATATGGACAATGACTCATCGCCATGTCAGAGCCCCAGACTCACTAATTCAGTAGGGAAGGAGCTTTAATAAGAGATGCGACCTTTACCAACAGTTAGAAAAGATTTGTTCCCTTACCATGCAGAGTCTTTTGGAACCTCTTCACACTAACCATGTCATTGGTCAGCTTGAATGTTTTTCCTTCCGTCTCGATGGTGAATTCACTGTGAGCAGTTTGATATAACAGAGTGATTGTTTATATGGCCAGAGACCAAAATAGAGAACTGCGACTGTCGGGCTCTTCGGTGAGGCTCACCCCTCCTCATTTAGGATGTTCTCCTGCTCCGTGATGTAGCACTCGTCACACACGGCCAGGTACTCCATCACCAGCTTGGCATCCTTCTTGTAAGCCTTGCCGATGGCACCCTTGTTGGGCTCGAACTGGACCACGTTTACAGTTTTGTGCGGCGCCGTTAAGGTCAGTGCCCCAGGTCAAGATGGCTGAGAAATGGCCTACAGAGAGCAGCATTCGTGCTTTAAACGGTCAGGTTTGGGAAGGATATAGGTTCTTTGAGGGGCTTCTCGGCAACAAGGGGCACCTTGGTGGCCCGGGCGTGGCACTTCAGGTCATAGCAGGAGCGGTCGGCACACCCTACGATTTCAATCCAGCCCTGTCCCAAAACAAGAGGTACAGTGAAGCCTTAAGGTCATATATTCCTTAGAATCAACACCACAAGCTGTTTAGCTTTTGGCTCCACATTAGGAGGTTCTGCCAGTCATCTGACTAGCCTTGGGCTCAGGGGAGACCTACGTAGGAGGTTTTGGTCTCAGCATCCCAGCAGTCGCAGGCATAGTGGGCCATCTCGTTGTCCATGTGCTGCCGGAATCGTAGCTTGTCTTTGGCCACACCCACTTTGATCAGGTACAGGTAGATCCTTCCAATGAAGTAGCCCAGGACGGAGTTGTTGATGACCCCCTAAGGCACAGATGGGTTCTGACTCAGTTTAACCTCTGTAGAATCTCAGGAGCACGTTCATTCATAACAGATGTACCCTTCTCCTCCCACAGGGCTTGGGCTTCCTGCTTCCTGTGGTACTAACCCTGCCCTCCAGCCCCCCATACCTGCTCCACCGCATCCCCTAGCCTCATCAGTTGGGCTGACTGGCCGCTGGTCTGTGCTTTGGATGAGTACAGCATAACGTCCAGATCGGCCACATTCTGGAACTTGGGGTGGACCTTCTCGTTGGGGTCAACAAAGTGCTCAATTTCTGCCATGGTGAACTCCCTGCGTGTTGGAAAAGGGCACGGTGAAAATCCACAACTACAATCCTGCTTTTCAGTTCCTTCATTAAAGATGCTGACAGCAAATAAAACACCAATGACAATCGTCTTTTAATATATCCACAGAATTCACCTTGTAGATATCCAATATGTTAAAGGTAACAAAAACAAGTGTTTCTCAACCCGGTCCTCAGGGACCCTCAGATAGTCCATGTTTTAGTTCCCTCTCAGCTCCCTGCCAGACAGTTCATTTTTGCTCCCTCCCAAATCCCTACCGGGGGGCTGGGATGCAGCACAAATGCAGTCTTGGGGGCCCCGAGAACCAGATTGAGAAATACTGACTTGGAATCTCAAAGAAAGACTTAACATTCTGATCCAGAGTAAGAAGTTCCAGTTTATACATTTAATACAGCTGAAATTCACTCTGAAATATTTCCTTGGGAAATATCATTTAGCATACAGTCCCTACTGGAGTCTCTGCAATTTCAAGCTTGTGTAAATACCCGATTGGACGTGTTCTTCCCCTGTACACAGTGTGATGGCTGCCACATGCCTCTTCACTATATCTGCTCTCTTCGATCACCACCCCAGGAACGTGGCCCCCAGGCTCACCTGACCCGGATGAGGCCCGAGCGGGGCGAGATCTCATTCCGGAAGGAATTCCCGATCTGGGCGGCGGCAAAGGGCAGCTTGCCCTGGTTGAACTCCAGCAAGCGCTTGAAGTTCAGGAAAATTCCCTGAGCTGTCTCGGGCCTTAGGTAGCTACAGGGAAGGAAAGGAGGAAGGTCTCACTAGGGAGGCAAACACCAGGCCCTCCGGAAAAAAAACCACAAGGTCTCCAGACATCACCATTTACCAAGACTATGATAAGTCATATTTCACTACCATATCAAGGAGTTTGTACATTGACGTGGGTAATCTTTGGCCAAATATGTGCAATAACTTACAGCAGGGGTTGATGAACCTGATCCATGGAGAGCCGGTGCGGGTTTTTGGGATGGCCTCTCTATCAGACAATAACAGTGGGTCCCCAGGACTGGAGTTGAAAACCACTGCTTTATTATTGGCTGATGGAGGGGGTCACCCTAAAAATCCACACCGGTTTTCCATGGATCAGGTTCCCCACCCCTGCTTTACATCGTATTTCAGTTTGTAGTTACTGGTCATCTCCTTACAGACAAGCCCTAGTTACTGTTCTCCTGCATCATTCAAAGTAAGATGGTGGTTCCTACCCTGGCATATTCCCCCCCGGCCCGATGGAGGTCTGGAACATCAGGTTAAAGGAGATGGGAGCAGTAAGGTCATTCCCCGTGATGGGGGACTTGACGTTATATTTCACAAAGAGGTCCGCTAGCTCCTGCTGAGTGTAATTGTCCATCTGGGGAACAAGAACAGGTGTCAGTGTATGGGGCAGAGGGAAGACAACTGTGTTGCCATGGAGATCAGCAACACCAAGACCCTGACCTTAGTGATGACATGATCCATTTCAACCTTCTTCTCTGCAGAACATTTCTTGTCTGACATGAGTTTCTGAAGGTGAGCTTAGATAAAAAAAAAAAAAACAAAAACAAAATTAGAACCTGGAAGTATGGCTACGTAGCTACTTAGAAGATGTATGTTAATAAAGTCAAAGCATTTAAAGTCATAAAAAGAACATTCCGTGAAGATCTGTGGCACCTCTTAGACTTTGGTGGCCTATTTCTATACCCTTAAGTAACAAACAGATCAAAACAGGTGACTACATAAGAACATAAGAAATTTACAAACGAGAGGAGGCCATTCGGCCCATCAAGCTCGTTTGGGGAGAACTTAACTAATAGCTCAGAGTTGTTAAAATCTTATCTAGCTCTGATTTAAAGAAACCCATGGTTTTAGCTTCCGCTACACTAGCAGGAAGACTATTCCATACTCTAACTACACGCTGTGTAAAGAAGTGCTTCCTCAAATTTGTTTTAAAATGTTCTCCCACTAATTTCCACTTATGGCCACGAGTTCTAGTATTTAGACTAATATTGAAATAGTCATTTGGCTGAACAGCATCCAGACCCGTTAGAATCTTATAGACCTGAATCATATCCTCCCTTAGTCTCCTTTGCTGAAGTCTAAACAGATTCAGTTCCGCTAACCTCTCCTCATAAGACATTCCTCTAAGAGCAGGAATCATTCTCGTAGCTCTTCATTGCACCTTTTCTAAGGCAGCAATGTCCTTCTTGAGGTATGGTGACCAAACCTGTACACAGTATTCTAGGTGGGGTCTTACCAAGGAATTATATAAGTGTAACATCACCTCCCTTGACTTAAACTCCACACACCTAGAGATATAACCCAACATTCTGTTGGCCTTTTTTATTGCTTCCCCACATTGGCGAGAGTGGGACATGGAAGCATCAACATACATACCGAGATCTTTCTCGTAATCAGCTACCTTTATTTCAGTGGAACCCATAAAATATCTGTACTTTATATTTCTGCTCCCTGCATGGATTACCTTACATTTATCTGTGTTAAATTTCATCTGCCAAGTATCAGCCCATTCGCTAATTAAATCCAGATCCCATTGAAGCCTCTCTGCTGCTAGGTCAGTATCAGCTACACCGCCCACCTTGGTGTCGTCTGCAAATTTAACCAGTTTACTGTTTGTATTTGTGTCAATATTATTAATGTAAATTAGGAACAATAGTGGTCCTAAAATTGAACCCTGCAGTACCCCACTATGAACGGAGGCCCACTGTGACATTGTGCCTCTAATAACTACTCGCTGCTTCCTGTCAGTTAGCCAGTTTTCGATCCAAGCTGCCACAGTTCCTAAAATCCCTGCAACTTTAAGCTTTAGCATGAGCCGTTTGTGGGGGACAACATCAAAGGCCTTCTGGAAAGACCTCAAACAGCCATTTTTACCCATTCCAATGAGGGCAGGACAATGAAAGACTGGTTCTTTTGTCAACATGAGGGTGGCATCTTCAAATTATACATAAGGTTCTTCCCACCTTAGACCTATAATTCCAGAAGAAAGCAGCTTGCCATCATAGCACTGGACATACCTTTCAGAAGGTGGTCAGCTCGGAAACACTCCCCGCTCTTGACGTCTTTCACCATGTAGTCTGCAAACTTGTCCACATGACCGGAGGTCCTACGGGACACAGAACACCAAGGTCCACCACTGACCGTATGACCAATACGAGCATCCCAGGCCAGGGTGGCAGCTAGCTACCAGATTAACTAACCAGCTAACAGCTATCCTGTCCCTGAGACCGGGCTATGGAGGCTGTATGGGGAGAGACAGCCTTCATGCATATAATCGGAGGGTTAATATGTGCCTGTTTAAACACCCCAGATTTCAGCACCTCACAGCTGATTCCAGGAACCACCAGGCAAGTAACACATTAAGACATTCTGTATGCTAACGACAAGGGAATTACACTAATCCCATAGCAATGGGCAGTCAACATCACATGCTACAGGTCGAGCTTACAAAAACGTGCATTATGGTTTTAGTAACCACTTTACCGTCAAAGTGAGACTCACCATAAGAGTTACTGAAGCAGACATTGAACTTACTTCAGGACAGGCTCTGGGGTCAGCATAGTGCAGTCGATCTCCAGGATCTGCTCCTCTTGGATGAAATGCTGCCTCCACGCCTGGAGAATGTTGTTCTTTAGAGCGCACCCTACAGGTCCAAAGTCGTACAGCCCACTGACGCCTGGGAAGAAGAGTCACCAGTCACGCCCACTCTGGAGGGATCCCCAACTGATGTCATAGCTGTATGCGATACTGAGCACAAGGGACCCTTCCACTGTTCATGTACGCAAGTGTTCCCGTGGCTACCACTGCTGTAATGTAATTAATATACAAAATTTCCTAGGAGAGCGGAGCCCCAGTCTGCCGCCTTACCCCCGTATATGGCAAAGGCCTGGTCGTAAAAGAAGCGCCTCTTCAGAGTGTCCTCCATCTTGGTTCGATCAATGATATCATCTTTAGGCTGCAGCGCCAGTTCCTGCATTTACAGAGTGAACTCAAACTCAAAGGCCTCCGTGCTTCAGGCTTACTTAAAAGGTCCTCGAATTTTGAATTGCTAGCATGTTTTCAGACATTAGACTCAAACACGGAGCTCAAAAACTTGTCAAGCGGTCGACCGATTGATTGGCCAGAAAAAAATTCCTGAAATCTTAAGCATTTTCAGGCAATCGGCATCGGCCGCTTAATCAAACAAAATCATTTTGGATATGATACTGTTGATAAAATGTTGGCAAGTAGAGGTCAACCAGTATTGGGTTTTTAGTGGCTGATATTGTGACGGCTGCACGAGCACTCGTTTCCCCAGTGATGCCGTGTGGATTATCAACACCTTCAACCAAAAGTAAAAGTTCTAAATTCCCACCGCTTATATCACTTTCATTTGATGAATAACTTTGCCACAAAGCTGGAACCATCTCAATTTTTAAACATTGTTTTGTTACTTTTGTCAGAAATGGAATCATGAAACACTAGACATAGCAGCGAACGTGTTCTTTTAGAATGCTGCATACCCTTGTTTAAAGTCTGATTAATATTTAGAGTTAAATTATTGTTGTTTTTGTATGTAATTAATGTTAAACAGATATTTAAAGTTAAGCAATTATGCTACTCATTTGTTATTTCTCTGCTAAAACCACCCCCTGCCCCCAAAAACAAACGAAAAAGGAAAAATCAGCATCGGCCACTAAAAACCCAATACTGGTTGACCTCTACTTGCCAACATGATATCAACAGTATCATATCCAAAATGATTTGGTCAGTAAAACAACTTATTATAGAAAAGAAAAACAAAACAAGAACTTGACAAACTAAACACTGATAAAAACCAGAAATCCAGATGAACTGCCTTTGTCTTTTCAATTCATTATCTGGTAGTCTAACCTAAGTGGATTAATTTAGCAAATGCTAGAGTAGGGCGAGGTCTGTAGGAGGTGCTGCAAGCTGGTAATGCACGTTCACAGGCATGCACTAGGAGCATGTGCCTGTAACTGGGCTGTGGGGGCTGATCGGGAGTATGACAGGCCCCATGCAATTGTCCCAGGGGTGATGTCGGCCCTTTCAAATAACCTGAAGCACTGCACTACGCTGCAGTTTCCAGGAACCACAGGGCACGGTCTCAACAGAGGAACTAAGATGCAGAACCAGACGTGCAACATTGCATGCGACGTCAAATCGAAAGCTGAAAATGAAAGTTCTGAATATATCAGTGTCTCACCGAGGGCCACGAAACTTGCAGACTTGAGGTATGCAACAAACACCGGAAATTTATAGAGATCTTACCAAAATGCTTTACCTAGTTCGTGCCACGAGGGGGCAGGATTTGAGGTGCTTACCTTGGCCTCCAGCATCTTCTTGCGAGCCTTCAGCTCCGCCACTGCTTTGCTGATGTCTACATCGGGTGCGTTTTCCTCCTTCATTCGACGCACCAAGTCACCCTAAAAAATATGAACGGAGCTCCTGTTCTTAAAATGCCTCAAGTTTTTAGAAAGGGAAGTAGTCGCTATTTAAATGGGGGGCATGTGTGTAACCGAAAGTTAAATTGGGGGGTGTCTTTATACTGCTGTTTCCAGATCCAACCAATCCACTTTCTGCTCTGACAGTGAAACAATTACGCCGCCGCAGCCCCCAGCGAAGCTCAAACGTGGCACCATGCAAACCGGCCCGGAACCGAGAAGCGCTGCGCTACCAGCAAATACGTAATCGCTGCTATCTAAAGCACAAAGAGTGATCAGAAAGCATCCATCTGCACAACCCAACTACCATCTGAATCGTCTCCCGGATTCCATATGCTATGCAATCTCATTCAGATTAAAAAAGCTGGTTTAGATCGGTAATGAACTACCAGCAAGGCAAATGACAACGACAGCGACACTACACCATCACCAGAAGGCTAGCTAAAGAATCACTCTATAACAATGCAAATTCAACTTACTCTCCAGATCCTAAAGTAAAACCGGCGCAAGCGTGGCTGTATATCCTAATATGTAGCTACGCTAAAATAATCACCTGTTCTTTCACGGCCACCCTCAGTGGAGCCAGCACCTCCTCGATACTGCCGTCCATATTGCGTCCTTCTGATAGCTGCAGCCAAAGATTTGTCTTTTTCCTCTTTGACAGGCGCACGGACGTAGAGAGGAGCCGGAATGGTGGCGGACAGAGCGAGTTTAGTGCGGCTCGGAGCCCCGATGTGAACAGGAGGGCGGTCGCCTCGGAGCCGGATCTTAGCAAGGTGGGTAGTGCTCTAAGAAGCATGGACCGCCGGTGAGCCGGGACGGGCCTGAATGATGAAATCTCCGGCAATAGGTAAAGACACAGGCGGCTCCGCATCGGTACATTCGCAACTCGGTGGCGTTACCTCTCGGTGCAATTTCGCAGATTCGTTATAAAAGACCGACTCACAAGAGTCCGTGTCCATGAATCATTTAAGAAATTTAATTTTTTTTAAATAACAGGTGGAGAACATATTTAGTTTAACTTTAACCGATTTTAGCCACTTCATAAGCGTACGTAAACAAAATACATGCTAACAAAATATACAACAGAATCCATCTATATCATGATTATCGATAATTAATTTGTTAAAATAATATCTGACTCCAGGAATAAATATGTTAGTATTGTTAGATAACAGGGATTTGATTGCATACAAACATTGAGTACAAAATTTTATACAAAGTCAATAATTTTTTAAATTTTATAACATCTCTGCATCTTATATATAACAACTTTTGACATATTTAAACCTAATACAAGTAGAAAATTTGATTTCTCCAGGGCAGTGGCACATTGGGTAGCACTGGGTAGTATCCATCCACTCCCTTAACAAGGCATGCAGGTTGCATGTCTGTCTGGAGTTTCTGGAAAGTCCCCATCTTCCTGTAGGTATCTCCCTTGATACTTGAGTTTTCTCTCTAAGTTCACCCACATTTTAGTTGTATTGGTGACTTTAAATAGCCCTATAGGGTCTGTATGGAGGAATGAATGTACAGTATGTAGTAGCGATAGACTGGTGCCTGTTCAGGATGAGGCCACTGTGCTTCTGAGGACAAACTGTATCTCTCCACAGTCCTAATTCGGTAAACAGTTCCAAAAAACGTCCAACTCAGGAACCAACGAAAGGAATCTGAATGAAATTTGAAAGTTTTTATTAATCATTTAAGGCCCAGGAACAAACACAAGAGAAGGACAAGGTATCAGAGTGACAGTAAGGTAACCCGAGCACAGATGAAAGCCTGAGTCACTTTCACAGTTAATGGATGCTGCTGTTTTCTACATGCTGACTGCACCTGATCCCACATAAAGCTGATGCCCTGTAGCTGTGCAGGGCTTCGTTTCCACCTGCTGCCTGTCCCTATATACTGGTGCAGGGAATATGAGGTCTGTGTCCCCTAAGATAAGATAAGATAAGATAAGATAAGATAGGACTTTATTGATCCCACAGTAGGGAAATTTGTGCGTTACCACAGCTCTAGACAGATAGCCTGAAAAGAGTACAAATATATAAAAATACAAGAATAAGAATACAAAAAAATAAAATAAGATAAAACACTAAATACAACGGTAGTGCCTATGTACAACCATATACAATATGTAATATGGATAGTGGGTTGTGCGAAAAAGTGCAAGTAATAATAAATATCAACTATTTTACTACTACAGCTACAATTTAATAACCCACCAGTCTTAGATATACAGAATAATAGAAAAGACATTAAACAATAGGCACATGTCCTCCTTAATGGGGACTGTAATTAAAGCTGTAATTATTTTTAAATAGTCTACATGTTGAAAATGATGCAAACCACTGGTTTACACTGATTAACTAACACTATCTACGTTACTGTTTTTTTTTTCATATAATGCATCACGCATATTTATTAATGATAAATGTTTACTAGTTTATGTAAAATACATTGACTTGTATGTACTTCTATGTTTAATTATGAGCAAGTACATCACACTTATCTAGGCCTAGCAGAAGCTTTTGGCCAAAGCAACAGACAAGTGAGGCAAACTGTACATTAATTAATAAGAAGCCTAATTTACCTGTATTAGCATAATATAAAAAGGAGCCTAGGACACCAGTGAAAAAAGTTGTTTGTCATTTAATATTTCGCCTAGAAAAAGGAGGTATTGTTTTTTAAGTGATGTTGCACTGTCCATCCAGTGTCCTTCCCAGTGTCTGCTATGCCATAATGTGATGTGTAATGGTTTGCAGTAATTAGCATTCACACATTTCCACATGGTTGTTGATATACTGTTTATCAGCAATATCACTGCATGTGCACTATATGGACAAAAGTATTGGGACAAACCTCTTAATCATTGAATTCAGGTGTTTCATTCAGACCCATAGCCACAGGCGTATAAAATCAAGCACCTAGCCATACAGTCAGGTTTACAAACATTTGTGAAAGGATGAGTCGTTCTGAAGACCCAGTGAATTCAAGCATGGTACTGTCATAGGATGCCACCTTTGCAATCAGTCAGTTCATAAAATTTCTTCCCTGCTAGATATTCCATGGTCAACTGCAAGTGGTATTATTGGTATTATTGATTCTGGAGCAGTGGAAACATGTTTTGTGGAGTGATGATTCACGCTTCTCTCTCTGACAGTTTGATGGACAAGTCTGGGTTTGGCAGACGCCAGGAGAACATTACCTGCCTGACTGCATTGTGCCAAGTGTAAAGCTTGGTGGAGGGGGGATTATGGTATGGGGTTCAGGGGTTGGGGTAGACCCCTTAGCTCCAGTGAAGGGAACTCTTAATGCTTCAGCATACCAAGTCATTTTGGACAATTCTATCCTTCCAAATTTGTGGAAACAGTTTGGGGAAGGCCCTTTTATGTTCCAGCATGACTATGCCCCAGTGCACAAAGCAAGATCCATGTGGAAGAACTTGACTGACCTGCACAGAGCCCTGACCTCAACCCCATCGAACACCTTTGGGATGAATTAGAGCAAAGACTGCAAGCCAGGCCTTCACGTACAACATCAGTGCCTGACCTCGCAAATGCTCTTCTGGGTGAATGGGCAAATATTCCATAATCTTGTGGAAAGCCTTCCCAGAAGAGTGGCAGCTGTTATAGCTGCAAAGGGGGGACCAACTCCATACTGATGCCTATTGAATTTCCAATAGGTGTATGGCTAGATGTCCCAATACTTTTGTCCATATAGTGTATATATACACGTTCAGTGGCCTGTGTTTAAGGTATACCTGCTTGTTAAGTCTGAACCTCCAAACAGAGAATCATTTGGCTGCTATTGAATACATACCACATGCAGACAGGATCAAGAGGTTCATTTACTGTTAATTAAAGTGATTTTGAATGATTTGGCTGCTGGTGCCATATGTTTTGGTTCCAGCACCTCAGAAACAGCCACCTTCCCCAGAGTTTACAGAGAACAGTGTGATAAACAAACAAACAACAAAAAATCCAATTAAGACCAGTTCTGTTAATGTTTGATTCTATTATACTGCTCAGTATCATACTGAATTGCCCCACAATGTGATAAAAACCTATTTTGACCTTCTGGGGACCATTTTTTCTGTTCCCACAAGGGAAAACTCAGTTGTTTAAAATTCTGTAACAGCAATCAAAAAACTTAAAATGTCAAAAGTCTTGTATTTTGTTTGTTTTTTTTCTTTTCTTTTTGCTACTTATGATTAAGGTTAGGGCTGGGTAGGGGTTAAGGGCGTCATGTTGGGATTACAGTTTTCTCCATAGAAATGAATGGAGAGTCCCCACAAAGATATCATTACAAACCTCTGTGTATGTGTGTGTGTTTGGGTTGTTTCAAAGCTGTGCACCTTAGGTCACTCTCCAGAATCATTACATACCCCTCTCCTTAAAATTACCTTCACAACGGAAAACCCCCATGAAAAACCCTTAATTAGCAAGTATGCTGCTATCTGCTGTTTGATGGATGACTCACTTTTGGAAAGGAGAGAACCTTGAAACGGTCTTTGCATACAGCGCAAGCCTCGCATCTTATGTGTTTTTCTTGCCATAATTTTTTTTCGCCAGCAGGTGGCAGCACTTTGCCTAAAAAATGTCTGGCAGCGCCTGCCAATTACCCGGCAACAAAACAAACATCAGTATATGTGTACCCTCTAATCTGGCCTCTCGTACTTTCAACATCCTTGTTTCTCAGAATTCAGTGCGGCTGCGCGGGCCAACTATTCGGGCCTGGCAGGCCTTGGAGAGGGCACGGCAACAGCAAGCCTCCCTCGCTTCGCCCTTCACCAGCACGACAGGAGCCTGGCGTCTCTCATGAGTGGCTTCAGATCCCACAGAGAACTGATTTGGTCTCAATTTATAGCATAAACACTGCAGATGTGGATATAGTGTCAGCTTATTATGTGGTGGAACATTTTCTTATGTAGAGGAATACCAAAGTACAGTAACTGAGTTACTGACATGGCAATAAAGGTTGGTTAGGAGTCAATCTACTAAACTAGTACATGATGTCACACCAATGGTGTAAAACACTGTTTCTCCTGACTGAAAGCGTAATTGGTCAAAGCAGACAGATAAGGCCTGTCTGCCCATTTCCTTTCCTCAGATGGCTGAGTCCCTCGCTCTGCCTTCGGCTAGCGGGAGGCCGAGCTCTTCAGGGATTCCCCAAGTTGACTCTCGTCAGAATTGGCGCAGGCAAATGCTTGTCCGACCCTTTTGGAGAGTTGGCTTTGTGGTTCGAATTGCCATGTTTGGGTAAATGTGAGAACTCAATGCTATTTTGGTCCTCTTTTCTCACCTGCTATGCAACTTCGAAGCCAATGGGTACATGCTCCTTGATGTTGCGAGAGTGAAAGCACATTATAGTAAGGCTATGACAAAATACAAGACCCTCAAAATGGAAGCAGGGCATTAATAAAGAGCCATATGTCATTCAGATAGAAAATGGTGTGATTTATATCACCAAATTAGCAAAAGCTGTAAAAATAAGGGTCGTTATTGTGGTACAAAATGCAGAGACTTCACCCCTACATTGCACCCCTGCAACTGTCTGTCCAGGTGCTGCAATCACAGGAATCTCTCAGCTAGATTCCTGCTGATCCCCTTGGTCTTCAGATGACTCAGTCTCACTTGGAGCAGCAGTGAATTTCTTACCTCCTGAAAAATCCACATGCTCTTTCTCCACTGGTCGCCCCCGGAGATTCGTATCAGGTTCAGAACACGTGGGGCATCCAAGGGAACAGTCCGTCTTACACGCAGAACTCCCAGAACACTGTGCTCCTTTGAGGTTTTGACAGCCAACATTATCAAGACTTATCTGGCTCTTGGCTTAGAGGGTAACATCACCAGGCT